CGTCGCAGCAAAGAACGAAAAGACAGATAAGCAGATTACGTGAAGTGCATCGTGTAAAAGAAGTGACCTGCCGATTCAGCACTCTGGCCTCACTGTATCGCAGCGATGAAAGCAAAATGGAACAAGTGTGAAGAAGGGGTACCGTTGAAAAAAAAATCTTCCTTATGTATTTGTCGTGCCACGTGTTGCTCTCCAAATTTAGACCAGGAATAAAAATCGTGGTAGGCCTTGATTTACTGTTTTTATTCCCTCGATCAAATATGGAGAGGAGTGTGTCATACTCGACAAATACAAAAAGAGGAATTTTTCAACAGTCGCGAACGGAGCCCCTTCTCGAAAATTGTTCTGGACATGGTGCATCGGCCGGAAATATTTTTCGAGAAAAGGCGCCGTTCGCGATGACAGATGCCAGTTCGAAATGGCACAAGTTGCGAAACCGATTCCTGACGTACTCAACACATTTTTTTTACTATAAAAAACAGCTTGACAAACATAAAAATCATTAGTTTTGGTGTATTCACAAACACTGCGTTCAGCGGTACAACCGATCACACAACCGCATAATTGTTTCATATCCTCGGTATGCTATCATTTAGGAGCAAATTTTCTTGTGTCATGAATGCAGAAAAGCTGGAAATAGGCATATAGTTGGCACGTTCCAGAGCCTTCATCCGTATGAAAATTGTGTAAAGCTAGCGGGACGATCGATTCATTTCCCGCAACCAAGCAGTACCGTAGTCTCAAATAGCTGTTTTTGCTTCGCATCTATTGATTTCGCCCACTTATTCATTCGAAAATGCGCTTTCCATACCAAACTGTACCACTCGGATTAGATAGAGGATAGATTTCCGGACAAATCATTATATCAAATAGCTCATAGGAGTTAGTTCTGTATTTCAAAGTATCAGTACGGTCCATTGGATGAATACGGCACATCAAATTACTCAAACGACTAAAGTTCCATGAATTTACTTTTTCACAAGTGACCACTACTGACGGATGGGAAGTATTGAAGCAGAAATGTGTGCGCATTACAAAATCCTGCAGCTGAAAACTCGAATGTATAGACAAATTAAGTGAGCTTAATTGCCCTTTTTCCCTGCTCTTCCTCTTCCCCTTTGTTCGTTCTCCACATCGCCCTAATTCATCTACGGTTGTTTTCAGAGGTGAAACCTATAAAGTTCGAGTTCACAACTAGCAGAATGGGATTTTTTAACCCGAAGGAGGTTTGGCAACACTTGCAAAGCTTTTTTCAAAGACGGCAGCCCGTCAAGATCTACTTATTGCAATGTTTAATTCCGCTGACTTAGGAATTCAAATCAGTGCATCGAGGAAATCATAACTACAAATTATTAACAGCGACCACCCCCTGATAGATGGTAACAGCAACCACCGGCAACCAATGCTGACGATGGCATCCTTTCTCGAGAGCTGCCATAAGGATGCTTGTAAGCAGCCCTCGAAAGAGGAAGTCATCGACAGCCTTGGCAGCTTGTAGTTGCTGTTAACATTTGTTACCTATCGAACCATTTCTCGAGCGCTTTCGTCCTCCATTTAGAGCAAATATGGAGGGAATTTTAATTTTTAACCCACTACCAAGATTGCCCTGACAGTCAGGATAAAGATCCATTATTAGTGACATTGCCGAATGTGCTTACACGTGGGTACGAGCCCATTTTTGAGGTTCATAGTTCCAACTAATACCCAGCGCCTGCATGAAATCCGCACACTGTTTCTTTTATTCCTTTTCAGATACCATTTAATAATCCTTAGCGATCATCGGTTGTAAGCAATACGAGCAACGGGTTCTGCTCATCAAATTTTTACATTCTTGCATGGACACAGTGGAATCCTATTGCTGAAGTTACCTTTATCAAGAATATCAAAATCGCCCTGACAGTCAGTTTGGATATCTCATGCTAGGGATGTTATTGGGACGCTCCCATATGTTGCGCCTAACTACGTCAGATCATTAGATCCTGGGCTGTATATCTTCTCTGAGCATCCACCATCCGTTCGAAGTATGTACGTTTCGCACGCAGTTCTTTCAACTCAAATACCATGTTTTCAAACGATGTGTCGATTTTTTTTCGACCATATTTTTCCATTTTGCATTTATCGGGTATAATCACAGACAGCATCGCTAAGCGAATGACGCTTGAACGGTGCTGCATTCCATGTTATCCGTGCTTCCAGACATGTAGCCTGGAAATTTCTGTTTGCATTTGTTAGACTGTACAGTCGTACTGTTGTGAGGTCTGATTGCTCGATTATTTCTGGCAAAACTGGATGATTTTTCAAAGCCAGTGCTTTGTGCTAATGACTCATCTTAATTTTCCATAATATTTTTGCATAACTAATTTGCTTACTCAACAAAAACCTCCTTTACTGAAATTTCTGTTCAGCTGAACCAAGCGATTTCACAGCCTTTGCATATCCCTCAAGCTCCCTCAAATTGAAGTGGAATATGCAGAAAGAATGAAAACATAAAACACTCTTCCTTTTATGAAGCAAACAAAGCAGAATTATGTATTCTTTTATCAATATCATTTCCTTTCCCCATTTTATAAATCTAAAAACCGTTCTCCAGCTCTTGCTTTGGACTATAAAATCTAAACCTGCGAGCTGCCGCCTTCCACAGAATTTTGGCGGGTCGGGGATGCATTTTTTAAAAATTTTAAAACTTCTCTGCCCTAACACAGGGTATGTATTTTGTTAAAACACAAAAGTTATGCCATTGGCGATACAAGAAACAGAAGGAATCCAGATCAGTAACAGCTTAAGCGATCACCATTGATTAGGACTGTTCTGCTGATGTCTTTAGAGAAAGACCTGCAAATCCTCTTTCTTCCGGCAAGTAAATGAGCTTAAACTTCGGCCTAAGTTTCTGGACTTCACCCACATTGTTGCTTTAAAATCAAAGCTAATCCACACACTTTTACTACATTTTGTTGCCGGACCGCTGAAGAGTGCTAATACTAATTAAAGGTAGCAAACGTAGCAGCTGGAAAGCATGCGTTTACTGCAAACCGATGCAAATTTTGAAAGGAATAAAACTTGCAGGTGGCTCAACTGGGAATGAAAAGGATCCATTGGCATGCAATGTAATGTCGGCAGCGGAACCGTTGAATGCGACTGGATCAGCTCTTGGCTCCAGCTCAAAAGATCTGGTCGATCTTGAGGCTCTGGTACTGAGCTGGGCTAAACAGATTTTCGAAGTTACGAAGACCAAAAGCCAAGCTAAAATTAACAAAAAACATCTGCAGGTGAACATTTTCATAGACCTATTTGATGGCAGTTTTATCCCGTGTCCCTAAGTCGATCCTTCGCTGCCTTCATCTTTGTACATTTCAGCAGTCTTTTAACTGGATTCCCATGAATTTTTTCACATATAGCTTTGTTTTAAAGGTAAAATTTTCTGAACCCCAGAGCAATATTTGAACTCCGTTTCTAGAAGCAAATAATCGTAGCATTTGTGTCACAAAAAAAAATCACAATTTATTCAAGGTTTCATTTATCAAATCACTCATGCATTAAAAATTCAAAATTCCGTACTAAAAAGACTCTGAAAACGAAGATTCCTGCATAAGTTATTTTAAATGAATAAATTTCTGAAAATCCCGGAAATCGGAATTGTGTTACTCATAGTCTTGCAGCGATACGAAATAAATAACAAAACGAGGCTGGATTGAGTGTCTAAGTCAATTTATCAAACGCTGCAGCTGAGCTTGGACCGAACATCCATCCATCCACTTATCCAGTCAGAGAGGAAAAGGGAGGTCCATGGAGCGTCTATCCATGGAATATGCAAACAATGTGCAACAATGAGTAATGTATGGCTATCAATAATGTAAACAAATTGATTCCCAAGATGAGGTTTCTATTCTGGTGTCCAGAGCTGCTCTGGGCTGCGCCAAATTTCACATCCTGGCTGCCCATTGCAAGTCAACTGGATATGCACTTTATCAAACAAGTGTGTAGCAGCAATAGGAAAGGGGCAAAATGGATAGAATGCATGGTTGCCTGCTGCCCCGAATCTTTGTGGCGGCCCTAGTGATGTAAGCTCGTTATGCGACTCTAATGATATAGTTATTGCACGCAGAAGCAATCATTTCATGGCTCACTACGTGTATTACCCACCAGGGAGTTCATTAACCAGCCATCGCAACACGTAACTTTCGTGTACGCATTATACAACAGATAGCTTTCGTGAACACAAAGCACTGAATGTTTTTCTTCGCGCAGACTTAGACTTACCATGAGTTGGTTAGGAAACCGTCAAGTGTAGGATTATCTTAAAAAGATACGGTCATCAAGGGATTTGTTTTCAAAATAATTTTTATTAAATAATAAGATGCCAACATGCGTTAGAAGACTGCCCTCATCACTGTGTGCAAGCCGATTGCACAGCTGC